CGTTGCGGCCAGGATCGAGGCCACCGCCGCGAGGGTGAGCTTCATTGTCGCGATAGTACTGGGGAGCTAAGTCTCAGGAGCAGGGAAAGTGAGGAAGGGGTAGGAGTGGGAGCGAGGGGGAGGGATGAGAGATCAGGGAGCGACGGGGGAGATGAGTCTGCTGACGAAGTCTACCTCCTCTTATACCCTAGGCTCCTTCACTGCCACGCCAGCGAGTCAGGTGTGGGCCTCACGTGTGGGCGTTATCCTTGGCGGAGCACTTTGTCGCGATGGTCGGATCACTGGAATGCAGCCGCCCACCAAACTCGATCTCGCAAAAACCTCATTTACGAACTTGGTTGAAGGCACGGCGGGAAGTGGGTGCAATCTTGGCGGGGACGCGAAAGACTTCATGTGGTGGCGTAAGCGGATGAAAGATCCGCACCGTGGGCCGTAGTCGTGACGTCCCGCTGTCATCTCCGAGTCCACGCCACTCCCTTGAATGGACCAATGCCGGACTGGGCGCGGCACCATGCAGAAAGCGAAAACGAGCTTTGTCAGGGCGGCGGCGCATCAGCTCCGCCCTTCAGACCAAGGCGTAGAAGCTTCCAGCAAGAACACAACCGGACTCTCAGAGAACCAAGAAAGTTTGATTCAGAGACAATGCGAAAAGTGTTATCTTCGCACAAAGAAATTCGTCTCGCCGATCTGACTGATGTTGCGGATGTCGGCGGGAGACGCGGGCCGGTCCTCATCGTGCTCACTGAGGGCCTGATCAAAGTATTTGCCGACACGGATCGGGACGGCGCATTTACCAGCAACGAAGTAGCGAACGCCGAAGCCCGATTCTGGAGCCTTTGCGTGGGCCGCATTGATCCTGGCGGCGCGCTGCTCCATCTGCTGTCCGGTTCCGGTAAGAATGTGATGAAAGTTGAGACCGACCGGTTCCGGGGTCTCGAGGAAGGCCACATTCTCACGGATGGTCTCGATGTATTTGGCGGTACCCATGCCGAATCCCGGACGATCGAATGTTGCCGCTGCGAAGAGATCTATGAGCTGCGGATTGGCGGTTTCGCCTCTGAAGTCAAAGCTGTTCAGCAGGCGGTCAGCTTTGTCTCTCGTGAGCCCCGCAGCAGAGCGACGTGAGACTTTCTCGAGTAGCACATGAAGGTCGTCCTTGGTGAAATCATCGAATGGGAACTGCTTATGACAAAAGGCATACTGCAGCACCAGCAAACCGAAGTTGGCTTTGATGTAGTCGAGCCAGGCTCGATCGTCGCCTGAGCAAAGTCCGACCCCCACTTGGCCGACGAGGACCTTACTTTCGCCCTCGAAAGTCTGGCCGACAGCGAGCTTGTCAGAAATCGTCGGATTTTTCAACCATTCGTATCTGCCTTCGGTATGCTTAAAGTAGACATAGTGAACATGTCTGAGCGACGTGGTTGCAGTGTTTCCGCTGCCTTCGACTTGTATGCGTGTGAGCATCAACAAGGTGACGTCCGAGTTTTTGAAGCTGTCGTGGACCGCTTGGAGGGTCATCGCGGCGAAAGCGATGATGGGAATATGATCCTTCGAGCGCCTGACTCGAATCAATCTACCCAACTCTCCTTCATAGCCGGGTTTAGCAACGGGATGAGCCCGCTCAGCATCCTCGATAAGGTGTTGCTGAATTGTGGCTTCCCTCACAGCCTTACCAGAGACCGGTCTGCGGGCTCGGACCAGAATCCCTTTTCCGAAGGGCGTATCGACCCAGTCATCTCCATCGTGGAGGGCAATGCAGTCTGCCAGAAGATTGAGCCTGCCCTTATCAGCTGCCTCGCGAACCTTGCGTAGATGCCGAAGGACATGCTTGAAGTAAGTCTCGGCCTGATCGGGGATAACATAGCCCTTATCGCTCATGCATGCAATGATATCATTGCACTTTGCGATATTGACGACAGTGGTATCCAGGAACGGTCCAAGCAGCTCGCGGGCGTCAATGGACGGCCTGACAAAGGCTTGGTCCTTGAAGTGACAGCCGGCGGTGCCATCCGACACGGCTGCGCGGTCGAAATCGGCGGTCACCAGGATCTGCACGGGCACAAGATCCCGATACTCCGCGACGGCTTTGAACAGCCAGTCGGGATGAGCAATCTTGGACGAACGGCGGAACGACATCTTGAATAAGGCGGAACTCAGATAACAATGGGCGTCGTTTTTGATGGATGAAGAGATAGCGGATGTCAAGCAACGCTTTCATGCTGTGGGCTTGACCGCCTCTGGATTGCATGCATGGTGCGATTCCGGTGGGGACGACGTCGAGTACCTCCATGGCGTCACCAGGGGAGGGACGTGCATGGTGGGTAACTCGAACCGCCGATTCATCGCCCCACCAACGCCCATCTCCGTGTGGGCTTTGTTTGTGGGGTCGAACTCCGGATGAAGCCCCACAAACTTCACATCAACCTCACAATGCTGCATCAAGGGCGGCCAAATCATCTTTATTCACAAACACTTCAGGAGGAGCACATCTACTGCAAAAAGTTGGTGCGTCGCCAAGCGGCGATCGTAGCGGAGAGATACTCGGGGCGATAGGCAGACAGAGGCAGCTCGATCGTCGAGAGCAGCTGTCGCAATTTGGTGGTAGCGAGCCTGCCCTGCTTCGCCCCACCGCAATCAATATCTGCCTGCTGGGAACGATAATGGTCGAGCAGCTTAATGGTGGGGTTTCGACTAGGGTTTTGATCCGACTGGGCGAGCCTGTCAACCCACTCTGCGTATGGAACGACCTCGAAGGACTGACCCAAATTCTGGGGTGCTGCCAGAGTTTCCAGCGCCGTCTTCCAGGGCATCGCCTCGTCACTGACCACATGAACGAGCACACAGTCTTCCTTGAGTGGGGCAGACGTCAGCTGCGCCGCAACGAGACCTGCCACGTCTACTGGCAGCCAATACAGATCTTCGACTCCGTCCGGAAGGCAACCGATCGTCTGGGCGCTCTTGATCATGAGCGGTGGAGCCTCGCTTTCGTTCCAAACGCCTCGCTCTCGGTCGCCGACCATCTGTCCAATCCGCATGACGACCAATTGGAATCCTCCCCCGATGATCTCCTGCGCATTGCTACACAAGTTCTCGACGATCCACTTGGAGTGGGCGTATCCGAGATCGAGCGCATCGTCCAGGGTTTCGCGAATGACCTCGTCGATGATGGCAGCGGAGCTGTTCAGGGCGACCGAGATCGACGACGAAAAGACAAAGCGCGGCGAGCGAGACCCGGTGGATTGACCGGCCAGATTTATGAGTTGCACCGTGCCCTCGAGGACGCTCTGGAACGAGTCGATCGACATGACAAAGTTGACAGGCCATGCGTTGTGGATGACGCACGTCACGCTGCTGGCCATTGCGTCGTACTCCTCTTTCGCAAGACCAAGCAGCGGTCGACTGATGTCCGAAGCCAGTGAGACCACCTGGACGCGGTCAGCTTGGGCAAGCGGTGCCAAGCCGCGGGCGTTGAGCGAGTCCAGCGTACGCTGCTGGGCTTCCTCATGGCCTCCTGCCCGGTTGAGGCAGATGACCTTGGCCACGCCCGGCTTGCTTCGGAGCTGGTCCAGGATGTGCGCACCAAGCGAGCCGGTGACACCAGTCAGAACCACGACTTCGCCCTCGGCTTGCGCAGCCGGCTGAGACAAGACGCGAGGCTTGAGCTTGGAGCGCAACTCGCTGAGCAGCTCGTACGTCCTACGCTTTTGCTGCTCCCGCAGATCCTCTTTCCGCGTTTCCTGGCCTGCAGCGGCACTGGCGTGAGCGAAAACTGCATCGGTCAAGCGCCTCAGCGTTGGGTGTTGAAACACGATTGTTCCTGGCAACGGCTTTGCCATGCGCACCGAGCGATGGACCTTGCTGCGGATCTGACCGTCCATGATGGAATCGACGCCGAGGCTGGTGAGGTCTACATCTTCTTTGCTCTTCAGGCTGAGACCGATGAAGCCTTCCAGAATGCTGCGGATCAGCGGCTCGAGCTGCTCTTTGCTCTCGACCGATACCTTGACGTTGTCTGGCGTCGATAGACCAAGAGCAAAGTTGTTGTAGAGCTGCAGAATCTCCTTGGCAAAGAGCGCGTTGGCGGGAGCTCGCTTGATACTGCCCTTGTCAGCCACGGGAAAGCGCGCCTCCGCCTGCAGGAATCGGACCATCTCTGGTACCAGACGAGAGTGCGATGGGCACTGGGCATTCACCTCTGCAAGAAGGGGCTCGACCTGCTTATTGAGTGCCGTCTGGCGCTCTTGATCCGAAAGATGCGCATGAGCCGCCCAGGTGCTGTCGTAGGGAATGATAAGGGCACCGGTGCAAGGCTGTCCCGCCCCAAAGACAAGGCAGTCTCGAACAAGTGGGGAAGAGCGAACGGTCTGTTCCATCGGAACGGGGTTCGTCTTTTCGCCGCTTACGTGGACAAGCGTGTCGTCGCCTCGACCGAGGTAGACGTAGCCGTGGATACTACCGTCCGCATTGCGGAGCATGCGGTAATGATCCCCACTGGCGTAGCTGCCGTCCGGGCGGTTGACCTTCGAAAGGCCCTTCCAACCTTTGACCACAACCAACTCGTACGGCCCCTCTTCGTTGGTGCCGACGTTCTCGAATTTGAGGTACGGGGCTACGCGAGAGCTAGGTCGCATCACGTTCCAGCCTTTGTCCGTCTTGAAATCGCGGAGACTGTCCTGCGATCGTCAAAAACCAGCATAGAAGGGCATCAGATTGATTGATTGTCAATAACCACCATGAAAGCAGACGAATACGGCGTGTAGGTTGAAAGGACTGTACCATCGCTTGACCAAACTCGGTGGAGCCCAGAAAGGCGATGAGGTTGACGCCTTTGGCGACCAGCATATCGCCGACCTCGATGGGGCAAGGGGCGCCGCTGTAACAGCAGATGCCAGCGTTGCGCAGTGCCTCAAGACCAGCCTCGTGCTCGCTGAGCATCTTGAAGACGAATGGCACGGCGTAAATGAGATCCGCGGTGCTGTTGCGGGCGGCCTGGGCGATGAGGTCAGGCTGCGCGGTGCCAGAGTAGATGTAGAGGCGGCGACGATGCATGAGGTGTCTCCAGGAGACGGCGCATCCGAAACCGTGGTAGATGGGAGCCGTGCACAGAGCATCGTACGGCATGAAGTCGGCGATGATGGACATGTAAGTCTCGTGTCTGGTGCGTCAAAGTCGAAAAGAAGCGGTCAGTGTGGAGTTCTGCGTTGGTGTCGTTCTGCTGACGAGCTACTGACGAGTAGGAATAGGGCTTCGGGAAGCCGGTACTACCGCTGGAGTGCATGGTGAGCGATGGATGTTGAGCCTCTTGTTCGTAGGACACGTCCGAGCGGAAAGGATCCTTCTGGTTCGTCGCAGGAGGCAGTCGGCCGGCGGCGATCATTTGCTCTACGGAGAAAAGACCAATCAGGTCGAGATCCACGAGGCTGTCGTGCTGTGACTGCTTGAGCTCAGCTTTGACCTTGTCTGCCTCCGCTGCCTTGTTAGGGCCGAATACGAGCGTCTGGGAGGCCGTTGCCTTGACGAGGTGCACGACGGCCGGGACAGAATTGTTGGGCGAAATGAGCACGACACCGTATCCAAGCCGCATGAGCGCCATCTGCGTGACCAGATGGTCGAAGCTCGACTCTGTGAAGAGCGAGATGTGACGGCAGGGATCGTCCTTGCGTCTGACAGGGATGTACTGGGCGTAGTAGGCAGTGGCTGCACGGATGCAGCTGTCGAGTTGGGCAGCAGTAACGTGCTGCCATTCGAAGGGCTCGGCCGACTTGATGTACGAGATGCAAATCTCGTCGCCCATCATGTCGATGAGCGTGTCGATGAGCGCATTGAGGCTTTCTCGGCCCTTGAAAGGGGCCAGGAGGCTCTCACTGTCGGTGATGAGTGGAACGGTCATTGGTACGACGGCTTGAAGGATTGTGGGCTAGACGAAGAAGCAGGGTGTAAGGCGAGCTGAAAGCATGCGTGTTGGTTGGGGAGTACTCTGTACGACCCTATGATTTATATCCAGCAGATCCAGTGGTTCGTGAGATGGAGCATTTACGGAGCTTGCGCCAGCTATCCGCTCAACGCGCTAATGGAGAATGCAAGTGCTTTGAACGAGATTGGTGGCGGGAGGAGCCAAGGAGGAAGCCCACGATACGACTCAGTTGACTCGGAAGGCAAGTGAAGAGCGGCCCGATGGCGGAAGGAGGCTGATGAGGCGTCCGGAGCGGGTGACTCGCATTCGAGTGGCTGCGTTGCGCGAGCCGACGGAGATGCTCGGATGTGCGCGCAAGATGGTTGCAGGGGAGCTGGCCGCCAAGATGCGGCTTGGTAGACACAGCCGATCCGATACGCCAGCACCGGCGAAAATAAGATCTGCAACAGCGACCGGCCGCCGGCGATCTCTTCTACAGCCTGGGGTCATGCGCCACCACCCCACTGACGCTCTTGATGACAAGCCCCCCGGCGCGGCGCGGCGCGGCACGGCTCGGCTCGGCTCACACGCAAGGGTTGCAACGTACGTTCCCACTCTCACGAGCATTTTGGCTTTGAACTTTGCGTGCTCCAGATGCTTTGCCGCCGCTTCGCACATGAAGGGTGGACCCTTGCGACACGGAAAATGGTGAGAGTGTGTCTGACACGAAAGCACGGAGAGCCCACGGAGCCTGAGCTTGAGCGAGAAGACTGCAGAGATTGAGACTAAAAGTGGTGTTAATCAGTACTCATGCAGAGCCTCCTCGTGTCCTTTGCAGCTTGGAGGTGTGTGGCAGAGGCTCCTGTGGTTCCTGTGGCTCCTGTGGCGGAGATGGGCATGTCGGAGATGTGATTCCTGCACGCACGGGGCTACGCACGAGCTTCCGAGAACTTTTTGGGTTTTGCAGGATTGGGAGCGCGCCATGCAGCAGACCCTTCTCTCGCACCTTCCTGCCCTGGCCCGCTGCCCTGGCCCGCCCTGCCCTGAAAAACTCGCCGCGCTGCATCTGCACGTCAGCCATGCCGGCCCAACAAACTCGGAGGGATCTCGGGGATCACGGGCCACTTTTGAGAAGGAAATATACGCGCATGCCAAGCTTCGTGGAGGCCAGATGAAGCGCCGTGAGCACGTTCCCGCGCCTGCAGCACATGAAGGCGATGAAGGTGCGGCTGAGGGGCGTCTGAGGAGCCACCGAGTCTTGGCAAGTGGCCAAGACTTCGGACCTACCGACGGAGGACGGGGATAGGAGGTGGCGGTGGCAGGCGAGAGTGCAGATGAAAAAGGTTACCGAGCGCATTCGGCGAGTTCCGATCCGTCGCGGCTCATTTCCGAATCACCATCAACTGGCCAGCTTGAGCGGTTGGAGGCTGTTGCGGGCATCAGTGGTCATGGGACGCTTTCCGGCGGCGGCTCCGATTAGGGTGGTGCTCTTCGACGCCTTTGATACGCTCGTCACACCGCGCGCTGCTCCTCATCTCCAGTATGCCGCCGTGGCGCGCGAGCACGGCCTCGACGTGGCGGACAGCGATGTAAAGGCTGCGTTCAAGCAGGCTTTTCGCATCACTGCCACCGAGCACCCCAACTACGGCCTGGAGACCGACATCGCATCGCCCGACCATTGGTGGGCGCTCGTGATCCAGCGCACCTTCATCCCCCACCTCCACCCTGCCGTGTCGGAGGAGCAGTACGCGGCGACGATCGATTCGCTCTCCCACCGTCTCGTCACCCGCTTCGGCACCTCGCAGGCTTACCGCCTTTTCGAGGATGTCGTTCCCACGCTGGATCGCTTAGCTCGGATGCGGGCCCGCGACGACCGGCCCGTCACGCTCATGTTGGCGACCAACAGCGACTCTCGCATCCTTGGCGTGCTCAAGAGCTTTGGTCTCGACCGCTTTCTGCACTTGGATGTCGACGGATCCGCATCTGCTGTGCAATCCTCTGCTGGCCCTGTGCTGTCGTACTTTGAAAAGTGCGCCAAGCCCGATTCGCGTTTCTTCCAGGCTGCCCTGCAGCGAGCTGCAACCCACCTGGGCGAGTCGGTTCCGCCCACCAACGCGCTCTACGTTGGCGACCAGCTCCATGAGGATTTCTGGGGTGCCACAACGGCAGGACTCCAAGCAGCCTGGCTGCAACGATCCACGGGTGCCGAAAGCAACCAGCCCCACCAGCAAGTGGACCGCGCCAGAGACGACCCACACGACCTCGAACATGCGCATCAAAGAACCATCACCAGCCTTGCTGATGTGGTCGACCTTGTCGAGAGCTCCCACACGGCCACATAGGCACCGCTGGCTGCATCGAAAGCAGCGCGGCAGCAGAACGCGGAACGACAGACAAAAGTTTCATTCAGCACAGCCGCGTGAAAGGCTTGAGCAGAGTACCAGCTCTGGCTCGTGGACTACAAAGACAGCTCAGACGCAGCTGCAAGTTGGCCACCCGGAGAAGCGCAGTCTAGCCATGGAAGTGAGATAGGTCGCCTACAAGATTCTTCAGCTTCAGTTCGATTGAACCGTCCGATTTCGCACGCAGGCCCAGGGTTCGGGCGCCGTCCGAGCTGACGAAGCGTACATGACGATTGCGGTCTAGCGCCATCCTCACGCCCCTTCGGAAATCTTCGGCGTGCTGACCTCGTTGGGGATCCTGCGAAACGGGATCCGCTTCGAATACCTTCTTCCATTCGGGCGCCGATTCGGTCTTGAAGCCTAGGACCTTCTTGGTCTTCGACGACACGGGAAGGCCGTGCGCGACGGTGGCGACGTGCGGACCGAATCCTTCGCGGGTTCGGGCGATCTGTTCCATGTGCTCGTGGATGTTGCCCCATCCGCGCGACTGGATAGCTTGCCCGGGCGAGTCGGGCTTGGGGATGATCGTAACGTACCTGCGCGTATCGGCGTTGAAGATGTGGAATTTGCCAAAGGTCTTGAGCGCCACTTCCATGTCGAGCTTCGAGATTCTGGAGGCGTCGTTGGCAAACACGTAGATGGGCGCGCCATCCTTGAAGTACATGTGACCATAGTTGTTCGGGATCGAGCCCGGGATCATCGGTCTGTCGACACCTCCGTTCGGCTGGAACATGCCGGAATACACTTCACCGAACGTCAGCTTCGGTCCGGGAACGCCGCTGGACGACGCAATCATGCGTCTCTCCACCTGCGAGACCTTGGGCACGGGCAAAGCTTGCGTGCAGATGAGGAGCGCCGTGATGGCTGCCAGGGCTCTGAGCGCGTGTGTCCAAGCGACCATGATTGCGGCTATGTTGTCGACGTTCAGCTAGCGAAATGTACAGTTGGACGGGGAACTCAAAGGTCGATGCGGGCCGTCCGAAGTCTGCTTTTATGTTGTCTTGTGTGGGCTTCACCCTTGCGGGATCGCGACTGCAATCTTTGGTGCCACCGTAGGTACATAATGACAACGTGGTTCGCGACTTCATCTTCTTCATGTGGCGCCGTTTCATTTCAAGATGGTGGCCTCGAGCAGACTGTGGCATCAGCGATTGTGACTCAAACAATGCATCCTTTCTGTGTGTGAGGTGGGATCCATGGTGGGATCCATGGTGGGATCCATGGTGAGATCCATGAATTGCTGCGGTCACGATTACGAGGCTAGTGTACAATATACAAAGACAGATGCGAGAAATTAAAGAAAGGGCAAGGCGAATCTGACCAGACGCAGTCCGCTCAGTAGGGAGTGGAATGGAGGCCTCTTGACTGGTAGTCGTAGGATATCGAGTTGGAATCTCCGTAGTAGTCGCCATTGAGGCTGAAGGCAAGATCTGGGTCGACATCGGCCCAGTCCGGCACCACCCTGCGCATGCGAACGTTATGCAGGCTTGGCGCCGATTGCACTGCCGTGGGTGAGGAGGTGGATGAAACCTTGGCCTCGACGGGCGAAGGTATTGTGAGCTTCTCGTCCAGAGGCGAGGCAGCCACGATGCTATCGCCAGCAGAAGCGCCGCTTTCCAAAATCGAGTCGCTGCCCCGCGCATGGCTGACGGTCGGCTCGGCCGCACTTCCTTGCGATGCGACCAGCCCGGCAGTGGCCTGCTCCAAGCTCGTGTCCACGCGGTAGTGGTCCTGCGAGTTGGTGCCGAACGTATGCGCCAGCGCAAGCTCGCGTCCGATCGCCTTCCACAGATTGATAAAGAGGCGACACGACAAGATGCTCGACAAGCCAATGTACAGGTTGAGGTAGGGCATCATGCGGCCGTCGTGCTGCTGGCAGATGTACCAGATCGGAATCGGGATGACGCACAAGAAGACGATGGCGTAGTAGAAGATGTTGTCCTTGCGGAACATTTTTTCAAGAGGCGAGAATCGTCGGCGGTGCGAGGCGCGTCGCAGACCGATGAGCGACATGACGAGGATGGTCGAGTCAAAGATGGGCAGGAAGAACCACGGCATCATGTAGAGGATGGGATTGGTGTGGCTATGCAACCTGGGCGGGCTAGGATCGCAGGCGCTCAGACCGTTTCGTTTGCTCCTGCTGGTGAGAACGACCATGTCGACGATGAGGAAGGCAGGTGTTGCGAGCCACAAGAGGCCGAGCGTGATAACGGCCACGATGTGAAAGCGGTACAGCGCTAGGCACCGAAGGAGGAGGATGCCGCTGCTGCCGCCGATCGAGATGAGCGAGAAAAAGATGTTCGCACGACGGTCGGCCTCGCAGGCGAAATTGGCGTAGTTCCAGCGCGCAGCACCGAGCTCCATGGGACCTCCTGCAATGTTGCCAACGACAGCATGTAGGACTGCAGTGATCGAGTATCCCAGCCCGCCGATGCGCGACGCAAAGTAGGCGATGTGCGAAAGCTTCCACTTCCTCCGCTTGGACAGCAGCTTCCACTCCCAGGGAAGATGGATGGACCAATCGGAGACGACCATGCCGAGCGCCATGGAAGCTGTGATCAAGTTTGGCAGGATCGAGTTGACTCGACGTGCCGAGATGACGATGAGGTCCTCTGGCGAGCCGAAGCGGTGGGCGTGGGACGAGTTGGCGATGGATGGCAGAGGTGGACCGGTGTAGTTGAAAGGCAGCGTGGTGGGGAAGGCCGGGATGGCCGTGACGGTCATAGGAATGCCGGCCATCTTGACGAATGCGACGCGGCCGTTGCGCCGTCACGAGTGTAGCTGTGGTGTAGGTTTGAGAGCGTATGTCTAAAGTGCCGCCGAGATGAGCCCGTGGCAGGGCAGAGCGAAGCTACGCGGCTCCGCTGCTCGAGAGCGCTGCACACGACTGGTCGTGATGTGCTTAATTGGCGCAATGAACGATTGACGATAAAGTCGGGGAGATGGTGTAAAGGCAACCTGTCCCGTCAGCGTAGCATCAGCGGCTGCATACACTGCGTGGCCAAGCGAGAGGTGCAAACGCCAAGGCGCAGAAGCGACTTGACGGCCCGCTCCTCGCCGAGACGGCATCCGCTCCTCTCACATTCAATCGAGTCTCCACAGCGCAGTGGCGACTAGATTCTCCAGATTCGAAAATTGCCTCGAGTTTAGCGGTCAGGAGCTGCACGCAACTCGAGTTTCAGCTCTTTTTTGGTGAGGCTCAACGAGCGGGAAGCCGGCCGACAGGAGGAGAGCTAGCCGCCAAGCCGAGTGGAGGAGGCTTGCTGAAACAACACGCAGCCAGCAGCGCACACCGTACTGCCTCCACAGTACACGTTCCTCTTTGGGCCTCACACCTCATCCACTCCCACCATCCGACTGCATCACGAACTGCGCAACCTACTTGGATCGCTCCTGCTCTGGTGTGAGGGCTACAGATGAATAGCCACTCCCGCTGAGCTGCTGCACCTCGCCAGCCATGACAACAGCTCAAGCACGGTCCGACACCGACGACCGCACCAACTCGGTCCTGTCCACGTCCTCGCATACGCACGTCGACTACCCCGATGGCTCTCAACAGTCACCTCGATCCAAGATGACCGCCTGGCCCACCAAGCACCCGGAGGAATATGAGCTCAATGCCGGTCAACCAGCGCAGGCTGAGGATGTTGCGCAAAGAGCTTTAGCCATCGACACCCAGGGGCAGCGTGGTCCCACAGCGTCGACCGAGCGAACGCAGGCTGGTCCAGCACATCCACCACCACCTGTGTGCATGCAGAACTGCATCTCCAGCATCGAGGCATGTACCCAGGACATCGCGCGCTTTAACGAGCGCGTCGAGCAGAACAGAGTGGAAGCAGAGGCGCAGAGGCGCGAATCAGGAGATCCTGTTGTGGCACGCAAGGCCATCATTCCGCTCGTCTTTGTCATTCTGTTTTGGGTCTTTTTCGTCTTCGTGTGGCGGCTTTGCAGTCGCATGATCCAGCAGACGCCTCAAGGCGTCGTTCTCGGCACTCGATCCGAAGGAATCGGCATACTCGTTGGCTTTGTCGTTCTGTGGCTCATGACCATGTGGTCCTATGTGACGGTCATCTCCAAGGGTCCGGGTCACGTCAAGGACTATGTGCCAGAAACTGCGCCTCCACTTCCAGGACCACATGATGCGACGCCATGGAATCAAGGAGCTGCACCCCAGTGCGGCCCCCAGCAGCAACACCCCACGCAGCCCTTACCGATACCCACACAGCATGCAGGCCGTCATTCGAACATTCCAGCCTCAGAAAGCTCGTTTGCGCATTCACACGGACTGCCATCTTCAAACTCGCTGCCATACCCCTCGTTCAACGCCGATCTGGAGCGATTCGGCGGCAACCGTGCATCCTCAGACAGCATGCGCGTGCTGCCCGGCTCGGTCGAGCCCAAGCATGACATGACGGCTGCCGACCTTTCGCACTCGCGTAACTTTTCCCAGCGCACCATCGCAGAGGAAGAAGAAGGCGCAGCTGACACGTCAGCCGTCGACGTCGAGGCACAGCTCCGCAGCGAACCCGCACCCGCAACGGAGGGCTGCGATGTTGCTTCCCACGTCGACCCGCAGCTCCCTGGCATCCTCGGGCCTCTGGCCGCAGCAACCATTGCAGAAGGCGACGCGATGCGAGAGGCGACGGATGAGCTGGACCGAGCAAGGGGCAACGTCGACCGCGGTCCCCACACGGAACCTGCAGAAGCTTCCGCCGCGCTACCTGGATCATCAGGATGGTCTGCACCACAGAGACGACCACCGAACGATCCGCCGCCGCTGTCTGCCGCAGCGCAGTACTGCCATCGCTGCAAGCGCGTCAAACCGCCGCGCGCGCACCACTGCCGACGCTGCGGCACCTGCGTGCTCAAAATGGATCACCACTGTCCCTGGGTGGGCGGCTGCGTGGGCGCGCACAACCAGCGCTTCTTCTTCATCTTTGTGCTGTGGGTCACGCTGCTCGAAGTATACACGCTCGCGACGACGGCAGTGTACTTCCACCGAGGTGTGCGCGCGCTCTCTTCCAACTCGTCATGGCAGGTGGATGGCTTTCTCGTCTCGCTGTTCCCCATCTGCGCGGTGTTTTTGATTTTCACGGGCGCGCTGCTGGGCACGCACGTGTTCCTGATGGCGCACAACATGACGACCATCGAGCATGTCGGGGTGAATCGCATGCAGGGCCGCGAGCGCGTGCTTGTCGATAGGTGGTTCGGCATGCAGGCGAACAGTTCCGCCAAGACGCCTGGATTCGGCGCAGGTCTCAAAGCCAAGAGGCAGATGATTCGAGACTGGGACAGGGAGTGGGGCAAGCTCACAAAGGAGGGCAACAGGTGGTGGCTCGGCAGCTCCAGCGAGGCGGAGGCACAAGAGACGAGCGCTGCGCAGGACACCCAGACAGGCGCGCAGCACGAGGACGGCGGCTCGATCCATGCTGCGCACGAAAAGCACGTTGCGGAGGGAAAGCGCGCAGGACATCAGCGCGTCCACGGTGCATTCCGGACCAACACGGCGCAGGCGCTGGGCAGCTCGATGTGGATGTGGTTCCTGCCGATCGGCAAGCATCCGAACGACGGACTGGACTTCCCCATGAATCCGAGATTCGGCCCACAGGGTGTCTGGCGAAAACGCCCGGAATGGCCCGAGCATCTGCAGTGATTCTTGCTTCTCACCTACTATACGATACGACGAAGTTTATGGATGGAGACGACCCCTTAATATACCCTTTTTTTGACGATAGAGACGCCAAAACCTCACTTCTGTGTGCGTGCGCGAGAGGACGAATACGACTGATCACACCACTTTCGCGCAATGCTGTTCGGGAGATGCATTACAGGACAAGGGTATACAGGAGGCCCATGGATCATCGCATGGTTTCTGGTAACGACAGTCCTACAGCGAGGTTCTTGGGGCCAAAGTACTTTGCGTAGCAGATCCTGCACCACACATTAGCGCCTCCCTGTGGAGCAGCCGGATTCTTCTCTGCAGGCCCTTCTTCCAGCTTGCCAGACTCGAGTGTGGTATTGCAGCCGTCGCATCTCAGACACGCTCTGTGCCACTTTCTTCCCGCTGCAGCCTTCTGTTCTGCAAAGTACACTGGTCGTGCACACCTCGCGCATAGTGGCGTTCCTCCGCTCGCATCGACAATGCTCGAACTCAACCCGATCCGGTCGATGCCACTTTTGCGTCGCGATCCAACCAGGTCTTCGGAAGAACCCGAGCCCGAGGCTGGGTTTGTGATGGTGCGCGGCGGCGCGATCTTGGCAGTGCCCGACGCACCCGTGAGTGTCTTGGGATCCGGACGCCTCGGCGGAGGCAGCTGACCGAGCGCAGCAAGCGGAGGCTGCGAGTTGACCTTGGCAGGCGGAGTCGGAGAGCCAGCACCGCCAAATCGGATCGAGCCAATGGTGTCCGTGGCGGCCACGCGGCGTGTCTGGATGGTGATGGGCGTGCCGTCTTCGGCAAACGAGGTTTCCTCGGTGTACTGCGGCTTGGACGCCGATGCAGGCTGAGCCACGCGTGTCGATGGCGGGGAGGGCGTGGCATAGTAGTCGACCGAGGGGATCGTGTGGCCCGTGACAGATTGAGTGGGCGCCGCATCGTATTCGGCATGCTCGTTGGCAACAGCTCGGCTCGAGGGTGTTCCAATGCTCATCCCACCAACTGCTGCCTGCAGTCGAGCGACAGGATCGTTGAGGGAGGAAGCGTCGGCAGCGATCGCCTCGTCGATCGACCGGATCGGCGTCGAGTAGCTGTCCGCGCCGTTGTTCGCCGCCCTTTGCGAAGCGTACGCCAAAGGCGACGTCGGCTTGGTGGGCGAGCTGGACGGCCCGACTTGGCTCGGTGTGCCAAAGCCGCGCGGACGGATAGATATGCCCGGAACCTGCTCTTCGCTCCCCACCAGCGATGCGCCGGGGGTGAACTTGGTCGGGCTTGGTGAGCGTCTGGCCGCATCCGCCCTTCCCCTGCTCAGCATCGTTTCGGGCGTGCTGTACTGCTGCTGAGCAAGAGCTGCACCTGCCTTGGACGGCGTGGCGAGCGGACTTCGTGGCGTACCGGTGAGATTGGTCACAGGCGAGCGCGGCGACTTGGGTGACGTGGGGTTGAGCGAGACCGCCTTGCCAAAGCCGCCTTTGCCCGTGCCGAGGTGCTCCTTGTGGCAATTCTTGCAGTACGGCTCGCCGTCGTGCTCGACAAGCAGCGTCGAGTCGAGCCGCTTGTTGCACACGACACACGTGAGGCACGTCTTGTGGTACGGTTTCGAGGCAGGACCGATCACCTGCTCGGCCAGGAATACCGATGTGTTGCATCGCGCGCACTTGGGCGCCGCCGGCACAGCGAAGCGTGGCATGGTCGGTGCAATGATCGAGGATGTCGTGTGCGCCTATCGATGCTGGCTGTAGGATGGAAGCGTCGTTGCGGATAGACGAGAGGGAAGGGGCGGAATGAGTTGGTGGTCGGGGGACTAGGGAGAGGCGCGTCGAGGAATGTGTTGGTGTTGGTCGCCGTGTCGAAAGGCCAGGCTTCTTGAACCCACCCACGAGCGCGGTGAGAGTGTGGCTGCTGTGGAGGTCGCGTGCGGTGTTGATGTGTCGAAGCAGCAAGAGATGGCGCAGTCACAGTGCGGCTGTGCTACCGTGGCCATGCGGCGGCCCACGGCGTGCATGCAGCGCCGCATGCAACCTCCAAATATAGCCTGGCGACGCGTCTCGCCTTTTTTCAGACCTCTCGCAACCAAAGCCGGCCTAACAAATTCGAGTTTTGCTCGTGGCTTTTGCCACCCTCAGCCTGTGCACCTCTCTTTTGCTCAGCACATACACTCGAGACAAGGATCGTCGAAGGCGAAAGGCATTTCCATGAGATTGATTCATACAGCGAGCACACTACCACCAGTACTTGTGTGTCGAGCAGTGGTAGCCGTTGGGGTTGTTGATGAGGTACTGCTGGTGGTAGTCGTCGGCGGGGAAGAAGTCCTCCTTCTTGCGGATCTCGAGCTGCGTCACGATCTTCTTGCCCTTGGGATCGAAGTGCTTCTTCTGCACCTCCTCGGTCACCTTCTTGGCGATGTCGAGCTGGTTCTGGTCGTGCGCGAACACAGCCGAGCGGTACTGCGTGCCGCGGTCGTTGCCCTGCTGGTTGAGCTGCGTGGGGTCGTGCGTGCGGTAGAAGAACTCGATGAGCTCGGCGTACGACACCTTGGACGGGTCGTACTGGATTTGCGTCGCTTCGGCGTGGCCAGTGCGACCAGTGCACACCTCTTCGTACGAAGGGTTCTTGCTCGACTCATGGCCGCCGATGAAGCCGACCTTGGCGTCCAAGAGACCCTTGCCGTTACCGTAGGCCTTGCGGTAGATGTCCTCGGTGCCCCAAAAGCAGCCCGAGGCGACAGTGGCGGTCTCCTGTGCAGACATGACGGCGTTGCTACTCTTGAGTGCTTCCTGAGCGGCGAGAGCGGTGGGCGTAGTGGGCGGTCCGAGGTGTTGGATCAGAGGCTGCGACGACTTGGTGAAGAGCGAGAAGAATCTGCTCATGAGCGGGAATGCAAGAACAGAGATGCAGCAAAAGACGGCGGAAAGGAGTAGTCGACGCACGCTGGGCAGTGGTCGAGCGAGAGTATCGATGGTGGCAGGCTGAGAAGAAGATACGTTGCAACTACGCATGCTTATGTCGACTAGCCTTGACTCAGCTCTTCTCCACGTTTTCCTGCTCTCTATAGTGCACGGACGACATGCAGGCCGGGATGACGTGATCCTCGAAGCCGTGTTGGAAGGCCCAAAAAATCAAAAAAGGATAGCCGGAATCGGGATGCGGGCTCCCGATGTGACCTGTCAGTTGCGATTCGTGTTGGCACAGGCACGCACGGACTCGAATTGGCCGAACCCTGTCTGCCTTCCGACCTCCTTCCGCACGTCCTTCAGCTTCAATCCAAGGAGCACATGAGCCGACTCATCTCACAGGTCACCAGGGTGCGACCAGCAGCGCGCCATGTCGTACACGGGTCATCAGAGCAGGACCTCGTCCTCGTCGAATCTCAACTCACGGCCCTACGCGTCAAGCAGCAGCCATGGAGTAGTTGCCAATGACGACACCGAGCTAGCCTTTGCTGAGCTCCAGATGCTCTCGCAGAATCAGCGCAAGCTGGCCACGCTGACAAGCAGGATGACCACCATCCTGTCCGGCTTCGATAAGCGGCTCATCAAGCTTGAGGGCAGCATCCTGCCCATCCACAAAGGCACTCAGAAGCTCGCCCGCATGTCGGACAACATCGACCTCACTCTCGCTGCGCTCAACAAGACGCTCGGCCACTACGATGTGGTGATCGACGAGCAGCCGCTGCTCAAGCAGGGGCCCGACGTGCGAGATACACGTCCGTACATGGACACCATCGATCGCGTCATCAAGGGGCTCCAGTACTTGCAGAAGTCGGACCTCAAGAGCCAGGAAGGCGTCATGAAGCGCATGAACGACCTCGTCGAGTTGGGCGCCCGCAACCTCACCAACGTCATCTCCGAGTGGGTGCGTGCAGATTCGGAGGTGATCGACCTCTCCGATTACAGTCCGCGCAACGCACGCTATCCCGTGCTCTCCGAGGCCACCCACAACGCGATCGTGCCCATCTTCAACTACCTCTCGACACTACCACGGCACCCTCGGACTGGTTATTCGCCGCTGTCTGCCGGATTTGCAGCCTACGCAACTGTTAGGGGCAACTATCTCACCCACTGCCTCACTCCCCTCGCCTCCAAGCTCCAGCAGTACGCGCTCGAGAGGATCGGCACAGGCGCTAGCGGTGCAGGCATGGTTATGGTCGCGCACGAGGATGATGAAGATCACTCCACAGGCTATCGCCGGGGAGAGGCAGGCGCCGTCGAGATGTTCGAGGCGTACTACAGCATGCTGGACAACGAGTACCGGATCTTGCAAGGTCTGGTGTCGTCCGCCGAGCTGCACAAGGAGACTCTTCTCCTCGCGTCCGCATTCTCACAGCTGGTGTCCGCCTCTTTATCCGCATTGATAGAGTCTCTCAGCACTATTCATTCGCACGTACGGCGCCATCTGGCCACGCATACCTCGTTCCTCCTCGATCTTATCTCGGCTCTTTCTGCCGTCATCCTCAGTGGCAGGTGGGATGTCCTGATCCGCTCCATGGAGGACTCTCCCGAGGCTCCGTTGAGCAGCAACTGTCCGATCGACAAAGCCGACCTAGACCTGAACGCAGGCTTTGCGCCCGCCGCCGAGCTGCTCGAGATCTTCAGCAAGCTCAAGAATGTTGCGATCGGCATCTTTCCGCGCTTCATCGAAGACGTCAAGGCCATTCCGCCGCGCAAAGCCGCCGAGGTGCCCAGTACCTCGGTCAACGAGATCACCTATCTCGGACTGCAATTCATGCGGCAAGTCACCGAGTACAGTGATGTCGTATCGCCGCTTCTCCAGACGCTGGGCAACGGCAACTGGATGATGGCGAGCGGCGTCGCGCCAGTGCTCTCGCTCGGCCTCGACAGCGACCCAAGCAGCCAAAGCATCGTAGGCGACTATCTCAATGATGTCTTGGCAGTCATCCTTACCTCGCTCGAAGCGCGTTCACGCGCCATCCGTCAGCCATCAACTGCGTCCGTCTTCCTCCTCAACAACATCGGACATCTGCGGCGGACGCTCAT